AATGCAATGCACCCAGCCCCCTAGAAAGCCTTGAGCCTGGGGAGAACGAAAAACGGGCCTTCCCCACCCCCCCACCCCCGGAGGCCCTCCAGAGGCCAGAAACAGCCTGCTTCCCAACTTCCGGTGGGCCCAGAAGGCCCAAAAATTAGCTGGCCGGTGCACACATGCGCACTGCAGCTGAACTAGGACAATGCTCGCGTGCCCACCAATATGGCTCCGCGTGCCACTTGTGGCACCCGTACCATACGTTCGCCATCACGGGCTTAGGGTATAACCTCCAGTGTAAAATCGGGCATTTGTTGGTAAGCTAGCAGCGGTAAGTAAATTGTTTCTCAAAGTGAGTACAGATAGTCCTCAAGTTATGACCAGAATTTATGTTGCTAAGCAAGGCAGTTGTTAAGTGAGTCCTGCCTGATTTTACAAGCTTTTTTTTGCCACGGTTGTTAAGTGAATCCCTACAGTTCTTAAGTGAATCATGTTAAGTGAATCTAGTTCCCAACGAACTTTGCTTGTGAGAAGTCAGCTGCGAAGGTTGCAAGTGGTGATCACATGTTCTGGGACCACTTGCAATGGTCAGAAATAAATGGTGGTTGGTCAAGAGCCCAAATTTGGATCATTTTACTGTGGGGGTCAGAGGTGATATTCAGCAGGTTCTGACCAGTTCTGGAGAACTGGTAGTGGAAATTTTGTGTAGTTCGGAGAACCAGTAAATACCACCTCTGACTGGCCTGCCCCCATCTATTCTCTGCTTCCTGAGTCCCAGATGATCAGGAGGAAATGGGGATTTTGCAGTAACCTTCCCCTGGAGTGGGGTGGGAATGGAGATTTTAGAGTATCCTTCCCCTGCCATGCCCACCAAGCCACGCCCACCAAGCCACGCTCACAGAACTGGTAGTAAAATAATTTGAATCCCATCACTGGTGGGGATGCTGCGTTGGTCACTAAACAAATGCTTTTAAATTAAGGACTCCCTGTATCTTTGAAAAGCGGATGTTTAAAGTGTGTTTGCAGATATGAGTAAGTCTATTTTACATCTGGGGGTGCAGATAACTAACAATCTGAATTGGTTTCTCCACACGTCATCCTTAGCGAAACACGCAGACCAGTATCTGCATTTCCTGCATCAGATGAGGAGAGTACATCTTTCTCCCTGTGTCCTAGCCACTTTTTACAGAGGCACGATTGAGAAAGTTTTAACAAACTGCATCACTTTTTGGTTTGGTGGCAGCAGTGCCTCAGATAGAAGGTCCATACAGGGAGTGGTAAGGACAGCTGAGAAGATTATAGAAAGCTCGCTTCCTGTTATTCAGGATACTGCTTATAAGCGCTATGTGCTTAGAGCTCAAAGCATTGTTAGAGACCCCACACACCCACTTCACGGTCTGTTTCTGTTGCTCCCCTCTGGGAGGAGGTTTCAAAGTATTTGTAGCAGGACTACCAGATTCTGTAACAGCTTTGTTCCCTATGCCATCCATCTGGTAAACTTGCAAGATTCGTTTTTCTCACCACGTACAGGTATACATCCGGACTAGACATATTTAGTCATGTTTATGTAGTGTATATTGGAGGTGGTGATCCTTTGAGAGCTGTATGCAATGAAATTTCAGTTTAATGTATGCCAATTAGTGTACATTCAAAATGACAATAAAGTTATTCTAAATTCTATTAATTATAAGAATCATGATAAAGTCCACTCAACAGGGTTCTGAAGCCCTTTCCATTCCCCTGGTTGCTAGTAATAGGATTTACTATTAATGAAGTTGTTAATTACAGTCTTCAGAGGCCTTAAGATAACTTTCAAGTGTACATGTCAGCGCTTCAGCGCTGGCATAGAGAGGAGAGATAAACTCTGAACTTTTGCCTGCTAAATCCCTTTGAAGCCCGGTCATCGTGGAAATGTGGAGGGGGGAGACATTCCTGTGATATGACGAGACAAGAAGTCTGGGGAGTGACTTGGAAGATAGCCAATGAGAAGCAGAGAATTGGGGATCGGAAAGGGAGGGATTGGGGGGCAAAAGGTCAGTCTTGTCCGCATCGAGTCATGATCCGGTTGCTGTGCTCGAATAAAGAAAAGATTTCTTTAAAGATTGGCAGTTTGGAAATTCATTTATTTTGAGATAGCATCGAAGTCTGACAGTACGATTTTGTGATCTTGTTCACGATCTGGTGTCAGCCATATTAAATCCAAACAAAATATGGCTTAGCATATTGTGCACATCATCAGTTAACAGGTTTATACATCACCGGTTGCAGTGATGGAGTTACTTTTCTGTGTTTTCTCATGAAATGCTTTGATACAGGAAGCATATAGGCAAGTCCAAGAATGTGGTTTATTATTATCTTTTCATTATCATCTGAAGAACTTCTTCTGTATCATCCAGATGATAGAGCACTGGTTTTAAGGTTTTTCAGAACGAAGCTTAGGGATGTCTGCAAGATTGTAAGGCTTGTACTATTTAATGCTTATTTTCATATAAAGAGGCACAATCCAAAAATAAAATAAATGAACCAAAAATATTTTCCCATTCCATATTGCTAAGGCGTCGAAATAACTTCTGGCCAATTTAATTAATTAGGTCTATTTTACAGACTGTTTAATCTCACTAGGCATACATTTGGTTGTATTTATTCTAGACTAGCTACAACTCAAAACACATTGAGCAGTATAGACTACATTTGGCTAGCTGGTAATGGAAGAGATGGAAACAGTATTCAAGTTTTAAGTCAAGCATGCATTTATCTATATGTACATTGGAATCTGAGTGCCATTTATCCATTATTTATGAATTTATAGTTCTGGAGAGGCAGACAATGGAACTGAATTCTTAAAAAATGCAAAAGAATGACATTACAAAAAAGCTCGACAACATATTTAAATGCAAACTAGACAACATCAGAACTCATATTAACAATAAGGTTGGCCTATGGTAAATACAGGTGGCTGTGGCTTATACGATTTATACAATTGGCAGTGTGGCGGGAAGCTACTCTCAGGCTGTGTTGAAGACAGGCAAAATGGTCCTTCCTCTACAGTATATTATTTGAGAAACATAGCTAATTGCTCAATTGTCATTTGTGACATCCCTTAGAGATTTGGAATAACCAGTAAAAAAAAAAAAAAAAAGCAGAAATGTCTAAATTTTAGGTCTCAAAGTTGCTTCCCCACCCCACAAAAGGCAACTGGACTACGTTTTTCCTTGAGGAAGAAATATTTTTTCCTTGAAGAATCAGATGTTTCTCTTCTCATCCAAGAAGCTTCATCAGTTCTGATAGGATGTGGGGAGGCGGGGGATGGAAGGATCATATTTCTTTGCAGTCATCTGATCATTAGCACTCTCTCTGAGAGCTGTTGTAGTCAACTGGTCCTCTTGCAAAGAGGTATGATTCTTCCATGCTCCCCATCCTGTCAGAAGTAATCCTTCCATCCCACCACCATCCTTCTTCTTATTATTATTATAGGAGTGTTTTGTTTTTGTTTTTTAATTTCCTAGTGATCAAAAGATACTAGAGTTAGGAGTAAGATTTTTCTCTTTGCTGTTTACAGTATTAACTAATGCTGGTGAGTCTGCAAGAATTAACCACATAAGCAGGTTAGATCAAGGTGATAACAACAGTAACCTAACACTCTACAATTATTATGACAATACTTATTTTCAATCCACCTGTGATCAAAGTTATATCTGGGCAGATTACAATGTTATTTGAAACACTGGACACACCTAAAATCAGTGGTGGTCATCTTTGACCTGGAATGACCTGGTTGTCTTCTATGACTGGAGTACAATCTCTGTCTGAACAAAGGTCATTGGTTGATGGACCTACAGTATAGCCAGATGCAACCTCCTTTCCTCTTTGAATATACAGTACCCTAGTGAATGCTAAATAAAACATTAATTGTACCTACTCTGATGTGGTGTTTGCACTTAAAATTAAGGACAGAATTATAGAAAGCCTTGGTGAAGAGGTATGTCTTTGCTTACATTGAAAATACATTAACACAAGCACCAGTAAACCTTGTGAGAAGCCACTGAAAATGCAGCCCTTTCATATGAAAGTACATGCCTAACATTATTTGGCAAATATAGAGGAAAGGACTGATGGCCCTGGAAAATATATATGTACATACTGTGCAATGGCTCAGCGGTTAAATCTACTGCTGAGTTTGTCAGCTGGAAAACTGAGAGCTCCGGTTCGAGACCCTGGTTCTTCGTGATGGAGTGAGCTCCCATTCCTTGCCCAGCTCCTGCCCAGCTAGCAGTTTGAAAGCAAGCAAGTAGATTAATCCCATTTTGGTGGGAAGGTAACAGCATTACAAGCACCTTGGCATATAGCCATGATCATGGAAAATGTCTTCAGAAAACCCTGGCTCCCTCAGCCAAGAAATGGAGATGAACATCAGGCCCTAGAATCAGACACAAAGGTTTCCCTGGACAGGGAAACCTTTACCTTACTATGCCTGCGTGCGCACATGCACAAACCCATACAAATACACATATCTGGAGAAGGCATTTCTGGAGATATTCTAGGCCTGAGCAATTCAAGACTTGAAAATTATCATCCAAGTCTTGTATGAGATCTTGAAATGGACCGGTAGGCAGTACAGTTCAGGGGTGGGTTCTACTTACCTTTACTACCGGTTCGCAACGGGACCACTTCTTCTGCGCAGAAGCTTCCTAATGACATCAGGGTTAGTGGGTGGAGTCTCACGCTAGTTTAACTACCAGTTCTTGCGAACAGGTCTGAACCGGGGGCAACCCACCACTGGTACAGTGTGACTGATCACTGATATGATAGAATTATACCTACTAATTCCATTCTTCCTGTTTCAGCACTCCAAAAAACAACAACAACAAAAAAAAAACAGCTTACTTCAATCCATTGTCCTGAGCTATTTCTGCTTGTTGATTATGCAACTGACAGTGACTGTAGCATAAAAGCCACTGATTTTTTTTAATTTATGATTTATCTCTCTTGTTTTTTATATTTTCCTTTCTCAACAGATCATTTCCCATCAATTCAAAGACATCCTGATGAAATGCATTGAAAATGCATTGAAGTCACCCATTTCTCTCAGTGGTGAGATGAGTAAGTAATAAACAAACAAGCATAGAGGAATATGAGATGCAATTTTTGATATTCTGGTTGCATGGGGCCATCCCAGATGTAACTTTTTTTTTTAAAAAAAAACTCTGGTAGGGCTTAATTTGAGATGAAGTTGAATATCAGAACCTGTTTTCAATGTTTCTTTCAACATTTGAGTAATTAATACATGGATGGATGATTTACATAGAGTACTGTTTACTCCATACCACATACCCTCTGACAATAGAATTGCCGAATAGCCTTTTGGATCCATATTCATGGAATATCCTCGGGATAGCAAGGGAGTATCATGGCATCATGTATCGTATATCATGAGAATCACATCAATGTTATGGTATCATTGCATGTATTGTTATTTTTGGAGTCACCATGATGCACCACAATTGCTGCACACCTATATTCCTTACAGCAGCTTTATATCTGCTGGTTCATTGGATGGGGAAAAAATTCATTGTCTTCTCTTTCTAACTCCCAACTGAATTGCTGCTGAAAAGAGAGAAGGGAGGATGAAATCTTCATTCATTCCAAAATAGGCTGCTGGGAATGTGATGATGATGACATTAACCATTCAGTTGTGTCCGACTTGGCAATTCTACAGGCCAGGACCAGCGGTGAAATCCTCTGAAGTCTGCTATCAGTTCTGTGAGACTGCTACCTGAGGCATGCCCGCACAGTGCTAAAAAAGGAACATTTTGAAGCCTTCCGAGTCTGCAAAGGTAAGTAGAGCAGTGGGAGTGGTGGAATCTGCTCTGCCACACGATTTAGATTAGCTAGAAAGCAGGAAATCCCATGATTCTAGCTAATATAAATCGCATGTCACAGCTTATCCTCACCGAACTGGTAGCATTTCACCCCTGGCCAGGACTCTCTACATCCTGTGATCTTGCATTGCTTCTTAGAGTCTTTCTACTCTTTTCTACTCTATGAGGTCAGCTTTGATAGAGTTCAGCCATTGTAATCTTCGGTGGCCTGGTTTCCTTTTTACCGCTAACTCTTCCCAACATAATTGTTTTCTCCAGTGAATTGCCCGATATGACATGACCAAAGTAAGTGAGACCCAGTTTTGTGATTTTGCTGAGAATGTAAGGGTAAGTAAATATTAGGAGATTGGCCTCAATATTTGAAGAACATCACCAATGGGATTCCAGAATGAGATGGCTTTATCTCTTGTTCTCCTTTCATTTGCCATATTCAGGAGAGTTCTTCTGCCTTGTAAAGTTCAGTGTTTTCTATCTTTGGCTGCCTGCTTGATTGAAATGATTTACTTAAAAAAAAATTTAATGCACTAATCAGAGCCAGAATTTGCCTTTTTTTTTTGCCAGTCCTATCATGTTGCTATCCTAAGGGTTAACGATTGCATTATGACTTAATAACATGCTTCTTTCCTTGATTAATTCCTATAATAATCCCAGCATCTGGCTGCATGAAACAGAGGATAAATACTTTTCTGACAGAACTCCCATAAGCTAAATTCCTTTCAACCTGAGACTTCAACCAATTTTTTAAAAAATCTTCATTGCTTAAATAAATGCCATTCTGTTTTAAGGGAAACTAATGGACTGCTCCAATGGACATATGTAAACAATTTCATGATAGCTAGAGCAACCTGATTTAAACTAGTTTCTTTCAAATAAATTGGGATTACAATTGATTGGGAATTCTGGGAGTTATAATCCTGATACAAGTCTTCCTTCCTTCCTTCCTTCCTTCCTTCCTTCCTTCCTTCCTTCCTTCCTTCCTTCCTTCCTCTCTTTCTTTCTTCTCTTCTGCCAGAGGAAGAATTTATTCATTTGTTCTTAAAGATGTCTGCATGTCTAATAATAAAAACTTATGTGTGTCTATTCCCAAATTAAGTTCCACTGGGTTTCATGGAGCTTCCTTCCCTATAAGTAGATAGAAGATTGTAATTAAAGTCTAATTGAACTGTTCTTACTACTTATTTTATTCTAGCATCAATGCCACTGAGTCATGCGATTCTGCTCATTATTGATTACTGATTACTATTAAATCAATGAGTCTCGTGAATACAAACTACTTTGGATAGTAAAGAAATCAATGAGCTGGAGTTAAAAATAAGTCTTTGTTCTCTATTTATTTATTTATTTGGTCCAGAGGGGCTGTTCTCAGGCAAAATTGTTGTCTGCTTTGATCCAATAGTAGTTTCTTAGGACTTTCAAATCTGTCAATAAAATAACTTTATTAAAAATGATAGTTATATAAGGGAATTGAAAATTAGGAAAAGAGAATTTTAAAAAAAGATGTATCTAAAATGACCAAATATGATTTTGAAAATAAAATATATCTATCATTATGGCATCATTATGTCACATTAGTATAATTGTTTATGTTTTGCTTAATAAGCTACAATTGGCTGGATTTAGCAAGATCCAAGCCAGGGGTCCCCAACTCCCAGGCTGCAGACCAGTACTGGTCCATGGCCTGTTGGGAACTCGGCCAGTTGTGCAAGCAGTGGGCAAGAGTATGAAGGTTCATTTGCATGTGCACAGGAGCTAGGTTACGCATGCGAAACCATTCCCCCTCCCCACTGCCACTACTGCTGCAGGTTTGTGGAGCCAGAAAGGTTGGGGACCTCTCAGCTTGCCCCTTTTCAATTTTCCAATATGGCAGCTGGGGAAACAACAGGATTATCCTAGTTTTCACACTTGTGGAAAAGTGCAGATAAAGAGTATAAATGATGGCATGACATAACTTTGCACTCTTCCAGTTTTCTCTATTAAAAGACCAAGAACTGCTTCCTACCTAAATGAGGTCTCCATTTTTAGGAAAGAACCAACCAACCAGACAAACAAAACACAATTTTTGCTATTGAAGTTGAAGCTCTCTTTTTATATTTCCTTCGATTTTTATTTTTCTTTCCAAACAAGTGCTTCTTAAAGCGCTTCCCAACCATCTCATTAAAACAGAAAAGGAGAAAAATCTGCCCTGGTCCTGGACTTATAATGAGTTCCTGCTGTACAGCCATTCTAATTTTGTGGCCACAGTTATGAAAAGAACACCACCTAATTAAACACAGTGTTGAAATGAGTACTTGAAACAGACTTTGATCTTGATGAATTTGCTGTTACAAGTGATCATTTGATTTAAAGGGTACTGCCTTATTTTTAGCAAGTTTGTCAGTGTTTAATATGTCTCTGCATGAATATGTGTTGGGAACATGGGCACCATCCAGACACTTTCAAATTCTATTAATGTCTAGGAGAAACATTTTCAAATTCAATAAAGTATTTCATTTCTTATTTTTTGGTAAGGTCTTTCAACTCACCCACCTCAATGGACTGCTGTTCTGGGAAAAACTGGAGGACTGGATTTTATGTGCATCGTCTCAAATTCCAGAGAACAAAGTGAAATATAAACAAATAAATAATATATTTCCCCATTGGGGGTACAATTTCCTTGGAGCCAATACTGAAATATTTAATATTAGTGTTAAGTACATATTTAAATGTAATATTCTCAACAAATGAACAGTACTTGATTAATCATGTGTTATTAAATTGGTGACAATTTTTAGTGACCACATTGATGTTCTCCAAGACAATCTGTCCCTAACTTGATCTTTTCAAGTCTTCCAATGGTGGGCTCCTCGCCATTGTAACTGAGTCCATCCATCTTGCTCTTGGTTGTCTTCTTCTTCTCTTTCCTTTCACTCTTCCAAACATTAGACCCTTCTTCAGAGATCTAGGTCTAATGTGCCCCAAGTCTGTTATAAACATGGATTTATTTATTGGTAACCGAAATTTATATGCCTTAATAAAGGGCTGATTTTTTTTTTTCTGAAACATCATCAAGGAAGGATCTGACTTCACCTTGGGGCAGAAGCAAATTATTACAGAGGCAATGGACTACCACCCAGTGGTCCGTCTTTGGATCCCAAGCCCCTTGATTACTTATTTAAGAGTCAGCCTTTCTGAATTTATGAGGCTCTTTTTTTCTAGGATATTATTCCAGTTCCCAATAAACATTATCAATACACAAGATGCAGGCCATACTCAGGGTCTGGGGAACAATCTGTTTTTTTTTTTTTTAAAAAAAAGGAACTTTAGATACTTTGAAACCTAGCCAGAGGACCATAGGTACAACAGAGAGAATATGCAATATTATCCACACTTGGGACTTTCTGCTTCACTATTGATAGAGCACTTGCCTATAAAGTCACCAAAAGTCAGACATAACTAAATAGTTAAAAACAACAAACAACAACAACAACAACAACAACAACAACAGATAGTTGGAGATCAACTAAAGATCCAATCTCCCCTCTTCAGATACATTATGTCAATCACTTACAATGGACAATGCTTTTAACCTCAAAAAATAGTGCTGATACGTTTTTCAGAAAAGCACTTAAAGAGAAATGTGAACAAATGAAAACAAAGTTATATTTAATGAGTAAATTCAGTATAGCATAAGGTCAATCTTTTAAAGCAGTCTAAGGCGCTGCTCCTAATTTTAAGCATATTCTTATCATACTTGCATACAGCTTCTGAACATACAGCTCAGCAATGATAGTTTGTTTTCTAAACTGTGCTTTTCAGAGATTATCAATAGCTTGGAAGTGTTGTATTATTATTTTTTACTCTTCATCATAAATACAGATCCATGTTCCTTATGCTAGGAACAAATTTAGTCCAATGATCCAATTTTTTTTGTCCTTGGTGTACACTTTATTGAAAAAGCTCATAGTTGCAACAGTCACATAGCCCTATATTTAAGCAGAAAAGTGATTCATTCTTTTTTCATATGATCTGTTCAGGGACTCGGAGGAAAAAAAAATAGAATAGTCATACACATTGCTAACCATTTGGTTGCCAGAAAAATTCCCCCCCCCCTTGAGTTTTTTTTAAAAATTAACCTGTTTGAATCAAATTCTCACAGAGGATCATAATATTGAGAAAAACACACCAATTATCCAAGCCTTCGCATTTAAAAATGAAAGCAAATAAAACCCAAACAGATCTATGAGAATTGAGAAAAGCGCAGAAAAATAAAGTCCGTTTATGCAACAGAATTTTCATTTTATTTTACTAAGGCTGAAGAGCCCCACAAAATCAAACCCCCAATAAGTAAGTACTATATATAAAAAAAATTTCACTCACAAAAAGGTTAAATTCCTTGGCAAACCAGAGAAGCGGGTCTGGAAAGGATCATTTACCGTAACTGCGGTCTTTTAAAAATTATAAGCAGGCAAATTATGATTCAGTGTGAGGTCATTATATCTACTCTTCATAGTAACTTTGTATGAGTGGTTGTCTTGTTTGAGTAAGATTAAGTCAGCTACCACCTCAGGTCAGACCTATAGTCCTCAGAGAGTAGCTGTCCGTTGGTGCAGTGGGAAACACTTCACAAATGGTTAAAGCACCCCATTTTTTAAAAAATTTGATTTATATGCCACCCTTCTCCGGAGACTCAGGGCGGCTTACAATGCGTTAAGCATTTTTCAAATCTGTTTGCTGTTTAATCAGTTCAGAGCAGCAGCGTAATAAAAGGCAATGGCCAAGGGGAGCAAGCTGTCCCGCAAAGCTAATGTAATGTCAGAGTTTGTGTATGCAACCCAAACAAATGCAGAGCAATACATAAAACTTTAAGGGATAAACCTATCATTTACATGAATTATTACTGGCCCGGCAACTCCGAGGGAGGCTAGAAAAGTGCAGGTTAACCAAGGAATAAAAGCACTGTCTTTGTCTGCAAGCCCATCATTTGAAAGACATAATAAAAGGACAAACAGGCTGTTGGAGATATACAGGATTTTTTCTTTTCTTTTGCATATGTCTTAATAAAAGAGGGGGCAACTTTTAGCCACATCTACTTGCTTCCAGACATCTGCATGTTGCGTAGAGCTGAGTGTGTTTAGCGTGATAAATGTGGAATTTTATTTATTAAATGTACTTATCAAATTTATTTATACAGCCAGTTTGGTCCAGTGGTTAAGGGGCTGGCCCAGAAACTAGTTTGAAACTGTGAGTTCTAATCTACCATAGACATGAAAGTGAGTGGGTGACTTTGGGCCAGCCACTTTCTCTCAGCTGAACCCACCTCACAGGTGGTTGTTGTGAGGAAAATAGGAGAAGGAAGGAGCATTCACTGCTTTGAGTTATTTATAAAAACAATAAAGCAGTATAAAAAAATCTAAATAAAAATATATAGTTGTTCATCTCACTAGAAGTGACTCTGGCCAATCCAGGGATTTCTGTGTTAGAAGTGATACTCCAACAATCGATTGTGGGGTTGAAATGTTTATTTCCAAGGATTTTAGAATTCTCTCATGCTTTTGTTTGAAAAGGAGGGAAAGAATAAATGAGAGAGACCAAAAGCAGGAATGCTATTATTCCACCATTAATGGGAAACCCTCTCCCAATGTGCCTTTCCAAAGGCAAATATTCAAAATCTTGCTGAAATAACCTAGCATTTTTTCTCCAAATGCAGATCATTCAGCACAGTCTGGGCCAAAGAAGGATTCAAATTGCAAAGGATAGCTGTGTTTCAAATGAGATGGCTGTCAGCCTTGTTCAGAATTGCTGGAAGGGCTATTCGTCATGAGAATATTCTTAAAAGTGCCATTTTTTTCACTCTTGTCTAGTGGGGCGCACAGGGATCCTTTCAGAAACCAACACTCTTTAAAAGCTATTGTCCCAATCACCTTCAGACTCTTATACATTTGCAAGAATGCAAAGAAAACAAAAATACAGAAACCAAAACTGCTTGCTCGACCATGAATAAACGAAGGTCTAACTGAGAGCTACTTTGATTTATTAGCAATGAAGTTTCCGACATAGGGAGAGGCTGCAATGTTTCAGAGCTGTTTAGCTTCATACGGTTGCTGGTGCTACAGACAGAAAAAGCTGCAACTTCAGGGGAAAGAAACCCCTGATTAGGTCTTTCTGTCTTGATCTTTCTCTTTCTCTGTTTTCTGGGCCTGAGTCTGCTCTAATACTTAAACTGTAATGAATGCAATAGGAATGGCACAAAGAAGCCCTCGTTGGGAGTCACTCTGAAGCACAGATGCCCTTTTGGCTTTCAGATGCCAAGTGATGTTGGTTGGAGCTAAACCCTTGCCACAAAGAGCAGGATGGAGGAAGGAGCCTTGCAAACTATGTGGAGAAGTCTCAATTTATAGCCATGATCTTGGTGCCAGATTTACTGTTATGAGAATGAAGGAACATCTTGTGATTGACTGAAAACAGACAGGCAAAAAAAAAAAAAATACTCTCTCAAATCCCTCTGTTTATATAAAAATTAAACTCCAAACCAAATAGCCAGATTCTCCCATTGGCTCTCTTAGAGGTACCAGTTCAGCCCAGCTCTTCACTGTCTCCTTTGGCCCTGAGCTCAAGGCTGCTGGCAGACTTTTATTCCTCCACGGTGGAGTTGCAGAGGGACAGAATCACTTTTGAAACCAGCTCTTGGTTTCTTGGCTTCATCCTCTGCCAAACTGAGAAGCGTTGACGATCGCAGTGACATCAGAAGTGAGCAAGAACAGTGTGGGGTCTGGGGAAAAATTGGCCAGCGAGATATTTATACTCGTAATTAGATAAAAGCCATCCTGCTTGGATCTAACACAGAAGTTCCAAGGGTCAATTTAAAGACTCTGCTCTCCATACTGAATATTTCCCCTCCCTCCTGAAGTGTTTAATATTCTCCAGTCCAGGGTGTGTGATTTAAAAACCTCTTATGTTTTATCTGTACAATTTATTCTTTTCCTCAGGAGACACAGTGCAGGGCTTGCTACGTGACGTATTTTGATTTACTTACTTCAGCCATACTACGAGGCATGGGTTGAGTCTCTCTGGTTTACTCACAGCATTACCTCATGAGACGTTTGGCCTGATTTAGACTGAAGGACTTGTGTGAATCTAGTCAACAGTGGTTTATTCAAAAAGCCATTGTTACGGGTATTACTACTAGCCCTCTTATGGGTATTACTACATTGTAAATTTTACAGAGACATTAGGTCAATCTACATCATCCTTCTAATAGATACATTCCTTAGAAGGCCAGATAAATGTTACACAAACTTTTTCCTTCAGGATTTAAAACTATTCATTATGTGTTCAGTAGCCATATTTTGTGTTGTTGCGATAAAAGCAAGACACAGATCAAAGGTCAAAGATATATTTTTTCTGTTGTAAAATACTACTTGATTCGATATACATTTTAACTGTTAACTTCAGGGGATATGTGGTTTTTATTTTTATTTTACACCAAGTAATATCTTAGATTTATCACACACACATCCCGTAAGAATTGTATTAACATAGTAACAGAAGAGTGAATGTTATATTCTGCTATTTATTTTGCTAGCTGTTAGTACATTATTGTATTTATTTTCTTCAGTCTGC